GTAAAATTTAGAGAAGGAAGTGGCCATTCCAAGTTGACTCACCCTTTCGTGGGCCATGCAGGGGTAAAATTTAGAGAAGGAAGTGGCCATTCTGTGGGCCATGCAGGGGTATAATTTAGAGAAGGATGTTGCCATCTCAACTTGACTCACCCTTTTGTGGGCCATGCAGGGGTAAAATCTAGAGAAGGATGTTGCCCTCCCAAGTTGACTCACCCTTTAGACAACCACAAAGAAGTCCCCATTATACTTCTTCCCTCGACTTTCCTCACTGCTCCTTCTCCTTCGTTTTTCTTTTCTCTCTCTCTCTCTCTCTCTTCGTGCTACATGAAATAGTTGAAGGTAGCGTACATATATGTTTTTCAAAGACGAGAAATTCAAAAAGAATTAAGCCGGAAGAACACCTAAAGCACCCCTAAGGACAAGAAACCGAGCCCAAAGAAACCCGAAACCAGTGAAGCCCAAAGACAACCGCAAAGAAGTCCGTATAGTGAGTGGGATACCTTTTCTGTTCCCTCCCTTTGTGTCCCTTTCTGCTGCTCCTAGTGCTTGGAAAGCACTCCCAGCAGAAGCCAAAGCAAACAGTTCCCTCCCTTTCTCTCCATCACGCTGGCTTTGGCGCTTCGTCCCCTGCCCTTGCACTCCCAGCAGAAGCCAAAGCAAAAGGCAAAAGCAAAAACAGTAGGGGAACAAATGTGAAAAAATTACCGGAAAAAACATTGAAAAAAATTCCCGGAAAAAGTCTCCATCCTCTGGAAAATGCCAAGTCTTTGTGGCTCAATAGAAAGAGTTTACATGTGGTCTGGATCTTCAGCACCTTCTTCCAGAAGAGTGTTGCAGGGTTTGAATTGCCTGGCGCCATACTTCAGCCCAAAGCCGGTAGGGAGGAGCCGAAGAGCCTAGAAAACACCTGGCCTAGGGGTTACGACGTTCGACCACCTCCAGTTCGGCCCAAACGACCTTCGAGCCAACTGCTCCGCACCTCGAGGATGTAGCGCCCCATGGTACCGGTCGTGGAGCCGGTCTCGGAGATCAAACGCACGTAGGTGCCGATCACCGCGTAGGCACCTTGAAGAGCGGTTCGTGGAAAAAGACGGCAGACACTGAAAAGGCATCATGTGACAATACACTCCATAACACGCCGCGTGTCCAGAATCTGCTGTTTGAGGGATATTAGGCTTGGCCGACCGATGATTCACGATTGATTCACCATCAAAAGGGGGAGCGTGCGTGGTTTCAAACCTCCACCAAGGAAATCCACGATGTCAAATTTTGTTGGGCAGGTGCTGCCACTGTTCCCACACGTTTCTCCTCCGCTGTGGCGCAAATGATGGAGACCCAGTCAACGGCATTCCAGAAGTTGAGGTAGTCATGGAAGACCGCCTCAAAAGACCAACTGGATGAAACTGAAGTAAGGTCAGGTTGGCAGGACAAAAAGGCAGACCCAACGGAACAATGGAGGAACTTGGCGTCTTGGCTTCTTGACTTCTCGCAGAATGCTTTCACAAGACCTTGGGTCACAATTTCCCCTCTTCGGTGAAAAGTGCAGGCTTTGTCCATCGAATTGCTTCACAATATGGTCTGGCAAAACTTGCAATGCATCCTTTGCCTTTTCGGTAGAATGAACCCCGCAGTTGCACGCCAACCTCTTAACCTTCAGGCAGTTGAATCCTCTCCGTATACTCAAGTTTCCCTAAACATCTAGGAGCCAAATCATTAGTGCGTGAGCTATCCTGCGTCCATACTAGCAGCTCAAGTAGCTAGGAGCGTTTTTCCATATTTATTTATTTAAGTAGGCGTCTACTTATATAATTAAAGTAAGGGCGCGCTACCAAAAGACACACAAAAAAGGAATCCTCAGGCAGGTTGCAAAAAAGAAGCCGTCAAACACTTCCAACTGTGACTCTGTGCCCAATGATTGGCCACCCGCGTCCTATGACTGGCACAAACAGCCATGTATGCACTTGATATCTTACCCAACCTGTGTCCAAGAGTCGAAAATGAATAGCATGGGATAACCCATCAAAAGACCGTGTCTCGTTGAACTACCGGCTTCACAACCTCAAGAATAGGCATCCAACGGACACAAGTGATGATAACTTTAAGTCAAGTTTCCGGGCCCTCAGGCAGGGGGAGCTTCTACTAGCTACCTCTAGCTACCTCACCTCTAAGGCCTACCCCGTCGGGCACCCGGTTGCCACGCGTCCTCTTTCCGTGCCTGGTAGATGCCGTACTTGGCCGAGCGGATCACACCCACCAGCTCTCCTTGGGTGTCATTGCCATTAAGTTGGAGGCCATCGCTTCTAGGAACAAGGACGCAACTAGGAGCAATGGGCATCGCTACTGGGAGCAACGACGCTACTAGGGGCTCCTGGCATCGCTGCTGGAGGCCATCGGGTCGGTTTCTCCCTTCCTCCTCGGTCCTCGCCCCCTCCGGCAGAACGACACCGGTGCAAAGCGCATCAACTTTTGGGAGACGAACGCGGAAGTTCCAATGAAGTGCCGATGGACCAGTGCTACTGGTGCTGGCAAGCGTCGAACCTCGCTGATGAACATGAAGAGCAAGGAAGAGACCCAAATGACCTGCGCTCTGCTATGGTCGGCATCGAAACAGTGCAATGTACTTGGCCAGCTTTGCTTGTTGTCCCGTGGTGAGCACATCTGGGAATGTCAAATCCTCTGAAGCTGCCACTGAGGCGCATCAACCATCACAATGACCTAAGTAGCTGCGGGCATATAGTGCTTTAGCTCAAGAAAGCCCGAAGACGTCACAACAAATCTGAGGATTCCTTGGGGGTGTTGGAAAACCTCCCTAGACCAAGGGAACTCTTCCCTGGATTGGTTTTGAGCCTCTTTAAGTTCACATCGTAAAACTGAACAAAGGTGAAGTGTCCTTTGTCGTTGAAATCAGGGCCTAGCGCCTAGGCTTGATTGACATGCTTCCAAGACCTCACTGACTCATGCATGCCCGAAAAACAAAAGACGCAACAGCAGAGCATCCTTCACTATCTTCACTTGTTGCACCCTGATCAGCACACAGATTCCCAAAAAGCTCAGCAATTCCCCAACATACTCTCATGTTCGCTGATGTTTCTATTCTCTCCCATCATACCCCATCATATCATGAGTCCTTAGACGTCAATCCTGCCGAGCTGCCACTTGGTCGATGAAGTTGCCCAACAGCCAACGAGACCAGGCAGATTGCACATGGATGAGCTTATGAAAGAGGCCGGCGCCTCACGAAACTTGGGGTGTCAGTGACATGCACATCTGTGGGGCTAAAGTCACTTGCACGAGCGTACGCGTACGGACAATATCTCCATCTTCTCGGCGATGCGTTGGACGACGATGAACCATACCACGCAAGAAGCTGCAAGCATCTTCTCACGCAGCCGTGGCCCGTACCATAAACAAACATGATTTTCCATATCATCCAAAGGTCACTCACTTGAAGCATTCCTATCATTCCTCAATTGCAAAACGAGGGTCGGTTGTGGAAAAAGTTCACGGTGACCAAGGAGATTAAGCCATAGTTCCTTGGATTCGCTAGTTCGGCAGTGGGCAATGGGGCAAGGCTGGGCAAGGCTGGGCAAGGAGGCAGCATGCAAGAATCAACCCCTCCATCCCTCGAACCTGGCGGAGATGTTAGCATTTTCCCGAGACCCAGGGTGAGACTCAATGTGGGATGTGCATTCCCCGGTTGGGGCACTGTTCATCTGGGCTTGCCGAAGATCGCACCCGAAGTCTCAGCAATCAGTGTACTAAGACTACGACTATTTAAACTTTGCCTGTGGCGAAGATGGGCAACCTGCTGGATAAAAAGAAAACAATGCAAGAATCCTTTCCTGGCTTTTACACACATGTTGTGCAAGAGCACGTGTGATAACTGGCAGGAGTTCCTCGTGTTCTCGTGCTGATGGGGGTGTATGTTCGGAAGACCGGCAGGAAAAAAGGACACATGCCTCAAAAAACAATATTCCCTTGATTGGGGGTTTGGAAAAACCATTCTCTGATACAAACCTGTGTTTGAAGACCGCAGCATCCCCTTCCAAGGGTCTGGTTGAAGGAGACGACACCAATCTCCACACGCTGGGTGTACCTGAGCCAAGACATCCTATGGAGTGATGAATTCCACCATCTTGGCTTGAACCTGCTCGCTCAACAATTACCATCTCCTTTATTTGGCAACTGCTCAAGAGAAGGAAGGAAGAACAACGAGCTCTTCAGAGGCATGTAAAGCACAAAAGCGCACAAATGCAGCACAAAACAACAATAGCATCTAAAACCTTTGATCACAAGAGGTTTTCAAGTGCTCTTGTTACTAGTAGCGTTCTTGTTACTAGTAGCGGTGCCAGGAGCCCCTAGTAGCGTCCTTGTTACTAGTAGCGCCAACAAGTGCCCCAATTGATCGATTTCTTCAAAACTCCGAGTGGCTCGTCCAACCAGGGGCCTCGCTGGGCGGTGCCCTCCGCGGTTTGGGCGCCGCCGCTGCAGCTGGGGCAGCAGGCGCCGTATGGCTCGCTCCTTGGGGCGGCGATCGAAGGTTCGGAACATCAAAGGGGTTGAACTTGGGAATGTTGGGAAGGTGGACACATGAAACGCATGTGAGAAGTTAGAACAACCAAAGCACGCAAAATAGACCGTGAAAAGGAACAACTACAACATAAATGGACACCTATCTTTTTAACAACTTTCCTGTTCAACATGAATTTCAAAATGTCATACACATAAGTTGGAAACACAGCCCAGACCGGCGGCCGAAATAAACCAATGGCCAAGGATCTCATTCAAGTTGGGATCGGAACATCCATCTTCCATATCCAGCACCATCAGCTGTAGCTCCTGGCAATTTCCGAGCAATTCCCAAAGGCCAACAGTTCAGAGTAAGACTGTCCGGTGGTGGTGTCTTTGCACGTCGGCTTAGACAACCAAAAGCCGGCCCAGCAAATTGAAACACGAGAAGCAGCAGAAAAGTGGCAGATCTCTAAGTGTATCTTGGAGCACCGGTACAAAAACGTGAGCGTGGCCAACAGAAATGCAACACCCCACGAGGCCACCCACAGTGCTCAGCGTCCAGTGCCTCGAGGCTCTTCCGTTGCGTCAGAAGCCAGGCGACCCGCGAGGGTTCCCCGAAGACCTCCGCATGACCTGCCTCTGGTGTGAGCTCCTCGCAACGGGAGATGGGACATAACATGGGGTTTATGGGGGAAGATATGTGTGTTTCTCTTCGTGGGCTTTCTAGAAGACATCTCTTGAACAAATTCCGGTTGGTGTTGGAAAAGGGTTCCAGGGATATGAGCATAGATCGGTCTGTTAACGGGAAGTTGAGGTCTTGGAAAGTTGGGTGCTTGGTCAGATCCTCAAACCCGGTTTGAAGAAAGAAGAGGCGTGATCATGCCTCAACAGTAAAGTTAATCAGTTAATTAAATTTGGGCACCCTTTGGAATTTACAAGTCCCGATCAGAATCACCCAACACATTGGCCCGAAGTGCTGCATTTCACATGTTGGGTGACTTTATATATCATTCCAGTCCTAGTAGCTTCTTGTTTCTAATAGCTTCTTGTTACTACTAGTAATGCACTTGTTACTAGAAGCGATGCACTTGTTCCTAGTAAAGCTTCTTGTCACTACTAAGCACTCGATGTGACATCCGAAGCAAATCGGCAGCTTTCTCCACCGCCGTCTCATGCCGAGCATCGTAGGAAGGATCTGCCGGCATGCCTCACGCTTGGTGGTGGGTTGATCCAAGGCTCTGAGTGGCCATCATTCACGCTACCATGCCGAAAACCAACATGAACCCTGAACATCAACCAATGAAAAAACATTTCCTCTTGCACGCCAGTTGTTTTTTTCAGTGATTGCAACTATGGTTCCAGGAGATATTATTGTCTCTGCCGAACATTGGATAGGTCACCACTCGTCCTGTGGACAACGATGAGATGGCTCGGAAACATCAAGTGGTGGGAAACACCATGATGTGACCACTCATGGTGTGACGTCCTCATTGAGCTACAGGTCACAAAACATGGCTTGGCGGCGGTGGAATCTCAAAATCGCTTGATGACGAGCAGTTTCGAGATCAATTGAGCAAATGGAAAGAAAAACAGGTCTACTGAGTCTACTGGAGTCTGCAGGTTCAACGATCTAAGCAGAACTAGAACACGGCGTAGAAGGAAACAAGCACTCAAGACACTCTTATAGGCGCTCCAGTTGTTTGAAGAACCATCCAACAACTGATGGAGGCCATCGCTAGCAGGTTGGAGGCCATCGCTGGTAGGGTGGAGGCCATTGCAATCAGGTTGGAGGCCATCGCTATTAGATTAATGTCTCCAAGGCACAAGGTTTCCCCAACCAGGCTTTCACCTTCTCAGGCGCCACGGCCTGTGGAACCTTGCAACCTTGGTATATCGCTGGTGTGGTGGGGATGTTGACCCAAAAATGGGCCGGATTGGCTAATCCATCCCAGGTGTAGAAGATCTGGCATCCTGAGTCTTGGATGTTCTGCGAGCCTTCATCTTGGTTCCATCTCTCCTCTTATCTAGCTTGTGTTCAACCAGCGGGGCCGTCTAGCCACTCCTCCCAGTGCACAGCAGCAAATCATTGTTCCTCGATTCTCTCCAATAGGCGGTATCTCTTCTCACTTCGGATCAAAATCCCTTTCTTCGAGACGCTTTCCCAGCTCCCATCCGCTCGCTCCTGCCGCAGCCTGATGCCGGCCACGATCCTGGGGCTGACCGATCAGATTGAAAAAACGAGGCAACGACACAAAACGTCACAAGATGACAATAGCCCTTTCAACTGTGACCAGCGCAGCTAGCAGGGCCTAGCACCGATGACTCCCCTCACTGTGGCACCCCGGCCGGTTGAAGCCCTTCACCTCATCCCGGACTGGCAAGTTGGCCTCAAAATGACTTTCTATTGGAGTCGCTTTCTGAACTCTTTTTGCATTAAAGCCCGCTCCTGCTTAACAAGTTTGTTCTCTCCTAGCCACTTGTTAGCTTCAACTGGACGCAGGAAAGCGCTCATGAAGTCCGTTGCGATACCGGGTGGTCGGACCTGAAGAGACCGACTCCGCAGTTTCCATTTACGTGCAGATCAGGCGTTCCAATCGCGGTTTTCCTGCATTTAGGTACACCTATCTCTCCACTTTGCTTCGAAGCCAAGGCCTGCCCCCAGGGCTCATCCCACTCGAGTCCATAGTTCAGAGTGTAGTTCCTGGGCCATGCAACTTCGAAATGAACAACGAGACTTGAACGAAACAATTTGTACATGGTGGCTGTTCCACAATTGTAGATCTTCAAGCGAGGAGTGCCCTGATCAGCGGGAACCAATTCTCTGCACTTCCTCCAAAACCCGACGGGGAACCCAACAGCATCCCCTTTGCAAAGCGTCCTCGGCAGCGTGACATTCGACAGATTGGAAGGCCTCAGGCGAAGAAACGCCCTCGGCACTCCAAACAGGTCTGCCGTGCTGGGAGCTGCCAGGATCCCTGAAGGACGTATTGGATCCTTCGAAAATTGGAGCAGTTCATTGGTTTTATAGCTCCACGGAACACATTCAGCATCATCCAACAAAACCCTTCAACAAGGCTGTATGATGGTGGAAAGTTGTCCGAATGCGGCCCCTTGTTGACGTGCCACACTGGTGAATCTTTTGAAGCAAGTGCGGACGCCCTTCATCTAAATTGACCTTACAAGCGCCCCCGATATCACACCAAAGAACCTACATGCGAAAATCCAAAAACCAAACTCCAGGTCACTCAACCAAATTGTTGGAGATCCTTTTGCATCATTCGAGCCGGATGCTCCGGTTTGGTCCCTGAGACAGTAACCAGAAGCTCCTAGGAACAAACGGCATCGCTACGAACGGAGCGATCGGACGCTACGAACGGGGCGGTGTCACGGCCCGATCCGTCTGACCGAGGCTGACCGAGGCGCCAATCTTCCGAGAATGGCCAGGTTTGGCGCGCCGCCAGGGGCAGAAAACCCAAACGGAGCCAAGACCAGAAGTCCGGGATTGAGTTGACGTCATAGACCTCAGGTTGGAGGCCATCGCTATTAGGTTGGAGGCCATTGCTATTGGGATCTATTAGGTTCCTTTTGGTATGATGCTTTCCTGATGATGGGCCCTACATGGGCTTTTTGCAGGGTCATCGGCGTGGAATGTCAGGAAACCCGGGCCCCAAATCACCTGCTGAGGCATGAACACCTGCACCTCCTGTTCTAGGCGTTGTGCCAGCAGTAGTCCTTCCTCTGCTGTTGGCCATCCAGTCTCCTATTTGTACATGGCAAGTTGAAGCACCCTGAAATACAATGGGATTTGGATGCCTCTCAAGGCCTCACCCACCCATGCCGACCATCTGAAAGGCGCCCAGTGGCTGACTTATGCCCGAAGTTCTGTGCCCAAGCAAAGTTGGCATTCCTCAGCTGCCCGCGCAGGGGGAATCGACTGGTGGAGGGCGCGGGTCTTGCCGTGCCATAAGTGAATGACTTGGCTTGAACTGGTTGTCTATCGGTCTGGGCTCCCCACCCTCTGTCCGAACAAGTGCTTCATAGACAGCGGGAAGTCTGGGCTCTTAAAAAACCATTTCACCACGTCAGAAAAAGTAGGGTTGAAGCCATTCGGGAGTTGCGAACATTGCGCCTTCCGTCGTTAACCACTTTAGAAAATGCAGAAAGTGCTTAAGGAACGGCAACGCATTGCAAGCATTTCCAAACATTTTTATGCAACGCGCCCAACTGCAAATGAGGGGTCGAGGGTGATTTCGCTTGGGTCTGCTTTCCACAAAAATCCTTCAGCTTTGGGGCTAGCAGTGCGACCTGCTCAGCCAGAAGCACGCGCTCGCGCGACTGTAGCCATCAAGGAGCTGTTCTATGTCGTGCTTCCAAAAGCCTTCTACCACGTAGGTCTCCTAAGAAACAGGCGCAAGAAACGGAGTTGCAGCAAATGTCTCTCTGCTCAGTGGAACTTTGCCCATTATGCCACACCGTGAGGTTCCGCACGTGGGCAGGTTCCAAAGGTCAAGGATGCATGGGTGTCCAATCCCCAAAGCAGTGCCTCCAGTTCACTTCCTGTACTTTTGTTATCCCCCTCTGGGGTTTTCAATGGCAAACAGTTGTTAAACCAATGAACGGAACATGCCCCTACCTGTGCATGGATCCGGCAGATTCAAAAAGTCAAGGTCCAAGTCTCGTGTTGCCGCAGGTGAAGCAAGGCAAAGACCTGATCATCGGTGTGACTTTCCATTGTGCTTCAATCTGCCAAGGTAATTGGAAAACACCATAATAAAAATCAAGCAAATATCACATCCTGCAAAAGCACATTCACGTTTCATCTTTTAAAGTTCATGTGCATCTTGGCAGGTCCTGGCAACTCTGTGTCTCTTCCGCTATGGTAGCTTGGGGTCCAGGGCATATGAGACCTTCACCACCGGTGATGCTTCACCAATCACCTCTCGGTTCTTGAAAAAGGCCCTACCCTCCTACCCGCTCTCCGACCCGCCTACCCGCTCTCCGCAGCCAAGGGGCCGAGAAGGAGATCAACACCAGCAAGGTGAAGGGCAGCTCTAAACCTGGGCGACGAGGGCAGAACCACACCTAGGAAGCTACTAGGAACAAGTGCATCGCTTCTAGTAACAAGTGCCTTACTAGTAGTAACAAGAAGCTATTTGAAACAAGTGCCTTACTACTAGTAACAATAAGAATTTAATTAGAACCACACCTGGTGGGCATCGACAAGGCTGGCTACTCCCGATGTGCAGCACACATGCAAACCCCCCGATGCCGTCGATTGTGTGTCATGTTGGAAACACTACCGCCTCCTTTCATGCCCAAAGGCAGGCGTTCTCATTGTCGAGCTCTGTCTTCACCCAGGAGAGGTAGATCCCCAATTGCACTCCATCCTGCAGGTGGAGGCAGGGCAACTGTTTGGCCAGCACATAAGGAAAGAGTGGCAAGCACATATCAGCACGTTTCGTCAAGCATCTTTTGTGGCCCACCTGCCTTTAGGCAATTCGCGCGTAAACTGCACATTTTGGAACTTTACATGAACTTTCTGGCAATGCTTGTTTCTGCAAACAATGTAGGCAACCTCGGCCACAAGATCGCGGCTATCATTCTGAAGAACCAATTCATTATCAGCTTCTGGACTATCTGGCGCCCACCGCGCTTGGGTCTCCTTCGGCTTCTCCGATGCTGCCTGGGAAGGACGCACGTGCTGCGGCACGTGCTGCGCCGTGCGGTGCTCTGATATTTTGCATTGGGAGGTGGCTGTGTTCATGCCATCTAAGACTCCACACCATCAAGCCCGAGAACACAAAAGGAACAAACCCAATATTGAACCAGAGATTCTGCGCGGCAGTTAATTGTTTCATGCTAGTAAGGAGCTTCCACGGTCTTGCCCTTTCAATTTCCTTAAGCAAGCGACTAGTGTCTTCGCGGTAGCCCAGAGGCAGCTCGTTCACTTGGCAGGGTTTGACCATACCGCAATTGGCTTAGCCAAATTTTCAACCGTGCCTTTTCGCTTTGGCGGTTCTGCGCTCGAAGCAAATAGCAGCGGCCAAAGCAAGCTGAGGCAACACGTGGCTTTTGGTTTCAGATTGAAGGTTTAGTTTAGGTCTCATAGGTGTGAAAGCATCAAAAGCTGCATCTGCAAGTCACCTTTCTTGATATTTGTGGCCTGGACTTAGCGCACCCATACGCAAGGGCTGCCCCATGCCCCAGGCGTGAAAGCAAGAATGAGAAACCCCTTAAAGTAGTTAGTGGCTGCCCAGAACAATGGACACAGCAATAAAACCTCAAACAGATTCTCGCACACCGAATGTACGCGACACGATGGGTCAGGGCACCTGGGGCAACACGCGATGTCCTGATGCTTTTCTGAGCTTGTCGCAAGGCAAGGGGTCCATCTACTGATCTGGCTACTGAGGAGTGCTTGCAACTGCCATCGCAGCAGGTCCAACCATGTGCGCAGGGCATCACACAACTTGATGACTCACCTCTGCGAAGAGGTGAGCATCCACTTAGGCAAAGAATATGGCTTGGCAGCTCCCGCATCCGACGCTCCCGCACATCGTTTGCAAGAACGTTTGGGAGCCTATCGGCCATTTGCAATGAACAAACATACATGCCGAATCCACTTATTTCTCAACTGGCGCCGTTCCCACTTAACAACAACTAGCATCGGAGGCCACTAAATCGGTTCTCTACTGGAACCTATTGATCACACAGACAGCTAGCCATCAGGAGTTGACTCATAGCTAGCCCAGCTATCAAGCCACGCCGATTTGGAGCAGTCGCTGCCTGCCTCGCCCTGCGAAGGATTCAGCAAAGGCCGCTTCTCAGTCACCATTGCGCCATGGGGGCAGGTGTTTTGGCGAAAATGTTGTGTTGAGGGACGAGCAAGGCTCAATCGTTCCATGTCCAATCAACATATCAGCAAAACACCAAAAAAGCACATGAAATTCCATAACTGTTCGTTCAAGACCATGTCTGACTGCCCTTCCGAATCGTGCAAGAAGCACCGCAGCCGATTTGCAGCCTATCAATTGGGACTGAAGGTGCGTTTTTTTTGATGGGCGTGTTATGGGGAGGCAGGGTGTTGCATGGGCTATCTATAGCAAATGGTTTTAGTCTTTTAGTTCATCTGTTTTGTGGCCTCAGGTCCCCCGTTTCTAATGCCCACCCATATGGAGCTGAAACTATTGACATTCTTGGGCCAGTTCATGTGAGACTTGATGATTCAGAAACATGCTTCCTGTATGAGAAGCTGCAGGAGAAGCCTTATGACAACCTTCCTTGGATGCACCGCGGCCCTGCTTTGGAGCCAATTTCAGCTGTCACTTGCAACCTTTGAAGCATGGGCACATGCAAGTCAAAGAGGGGTTCTCTGTGATTGTGGGACCTTCCTTGGATCAAGCAACGCAAGGGTTTACAATCTTGCCGTAAGGCTCATGGCCGAAGGATCCCTGTTTGCCGAAGACACATCAATGAATCCAACAGCAGGGTGGAGACTGCCCCCGAAAACCAAGCACACAATGATGGCAGTTTAACGTGACCCATGGGCGAACAACCACCACTTCTGCCACTCCGCGACGTTCCACTTCTGCCTTTGAGGGATCGATCTTCCCACAGAGTGGGTCGTGAGCCATCCTCAGTGGTCCATCGGTGGAAGAAGGATAGGGACCGAGGAGGTCGAGGTCTTGGAAGACCAATCTGCTTTGGAAGATGAGGAGTGTCCTGCGCACTCCACCCTACTGGAAATGGCCTCCAATAGGTCTCCTTTACTGCGTAAAGGAAGGCAAGAAGTGCATCATTGAACTGGACCAAGAGGTTGTGGTGAGCAAAGAACCCGTATCATGATTGCTTCTCGTGAATTTCCACCACCACATGCGTGCTTAATGTGTTCAACGTTTCTGGTAGTCTGAAGCTAATCTGGAAGTGAGAACCCTCCTTCTTTGAATTCTTCGGTGTCGGATCCGAAGGCTACACATCACACAAGGTCCTCATTGCGAACGAAGAAGTCAAACAAAAGTACTTTTCCACCTGCAGCTGCAGCACATACAATGCCCTACCAACTGCTGGGGTTTTGGAAAAATGATCAGCCTCCCAGAGCGCGGCTTGTATTGCAAGGTTGCGTGGCTGGTCAAAAACTGGAGACCCCACCATGACCCCAATCAAGACCAAGAGACCCCAAGGCGCAGCCACGGCAGCAGGTATCAAAGGGCTTGCCGTGGCGGGTCACACCAGGCCTCCAAAGTCCAGCTGGCGTTCGTCTCATTTTGCAACGTTTTGCCTGGATCGTTTTGCTCCAAAGCCCTAGGTTCCAGGACTTCGAGGTCATACGACACAGAAGTGACACGTTGTCGCTGCAAGGCCCCGGCGCGACATGGCGCCCGCACTTGAGCTTGCCTCAGCAATAGAGGATGCATGACACCCGAAAGAACTGGGTGTTTGTTCCTAACTTGCCCCTTTCAATCACAGAAGAGCTGCGCACAACCCTCTTTTCGACCACATACCGTCAAGGTTCTTTCGAAACTAAGAGGCCTTCAATACTTGAAACAAGGCACCCATGTCCAATGATCAGAAGGAAACAACATACCAACGAGCAAAGAAAACAACTGATCAACCAATTGTGCCCAGCGACATCGTGGAATGCCGCCCTCGTGGCCTCAAGCATGGGGGCGTCGAAGCGCCATGTGTCGCACGAAAGCTAAGCTTTTTTGCAAGTCTGGGACTGGGGGAATGGAGAAAGATAGTGAAGACAATCCTTGCTACCTAGGCCGGAGATGATTTTAGGCGTGATGTGGGTCGACATTTGCTGTGACTTGCCAGTATTGTCGGCCTCTCAAAAGCCATAAAGGCCAGCTCACCTTAGTTTCCCCGCCTCGGAAAGTGAGAGGTAGCATCTGAGAGTTCCAAAGCCACATGTTCAACACACATCTGCGAACACGAAGAAATTCCCTAGCGAACCGACACGGAAAGTCGATTCGGGTGCAAACTCTATGCATGGATGCCGATTTGCTACGGTTTTGGTGACCCAGCCCAAGCTCGTCCCTAATTTCAAGCTTTCAAGCACTTTCCGGCAAACAAGGACGGCCCGCGCCAAGTGATGTGCCAAGCTACACAGTGGACGAGCCGGGCCGCTGTAGCCTGAAGCACCGGAGGTGGTTCAGCACATTCGAATTGCATATAGGGCACTTGGGACAGGACACCACTTCAAACACTTCCAGGCACAGGTTGGGCAGCTTGGGCTTGTGAAACACTGAGCCCAGGGACTTCCGAGAAGGACCCTCCCAAAAGACTGGCTTGGCCATCTGCTCCGAAAAGTAGAGGCATTCCGGGGGTCCGGCATTCCATTCATTTTGTCTTTTCTTTTTTCTTTTCGAAGTCTTGAAACCTTGAAACATTTCATTTATAAATCGCCCCCCCCACTCCTTCCCTGGGAGCGATGGCTGCCAGCGTCCCGGCTCTCAGTGTCTGTCAGACAACAACATGGGTAAAAAAAAGGCACTTGTTTCTAATAGCTTCTTGTTACTACTAGTAAGGCACTTGTTACTAGTAGCGTGGCACTTGTTTCTAGTAGCGAAAGGCGTTTCGCTCTTGAGAACTGGGTTTGTGGACTCTGCACTGGGCTTCCCAGCCGCCACCTTTCCCGCCTTTGCCGGCCTTGGAGGTAAGCTGCCCCTTCAGAACTGAAGTGTAGCGTCAATTCTGACCTCGCTCAACGTAGAGCTTCAACCTGGTACAGGAATATCAACCTTTCAATCCCTACCACGTGTTTAAAACCAGTCAAAGCTCGCCCAGGCCAGATTGAATGCTCCTTTGCATTCCGACGCCCATGCACCAAAACGCTGTATATGCTATTGAGTGCAATAGTTTCCCCCAAGCTGGTGAGATCTCCACCAGCACGCGGACAAAACTGTACGTCCAAATGCATCTAGACCTTGATTACCCTGCACCCCGTGCTGGCCCAGATTGGGCCCACCACACCTAGCATGAAGGGTGCTTCACTATAATGAGTTTGCAGGTTGACACTGTGTGATTCACTTTGGGCAAGGAACTAAGCGATGCTTGCTAGACTGGTCAAGCTAAGATGCCTGCTGAATGGGATGCTCTTTTTCTTTTGGCCACTTCTTCTTCAGCGGCTCTTCTGGCTGCTTCTTCTTCAGCAGCTTTTCTGGCCGCTTCTTCTTCAGC